AATCTTTTTTGAAGTGAGGCCTTTAGAACAGCACACAATACTCCAGGTGCAGCCTGACCAATGCAGTGTACAGCAGGACTATGACATCTTGTGATCTGGATGTTATGCCTCTGTTGATACACCTCAAGATTACATTAGCCTTTTTTGTCAGTGCATCACACCATCTGCACCCATACCCCAAGATCTTGTTTGCACACACTGCTACGCAGAAGTGTATCCCCCATCCAGTATGCATGTTCATAATTTTTTTTACCCAGATGTAGAACTCAGCACTTATCCTTGTTAAATTGCATCTTGTTTACATCTGCCCACTTTTTCAGTGTGTTCAGATCTCGTTGAACTCTAACTCTGTCTTCTGGTGTCTTTGTTGTTCCTCCAAATTTGGTGTCATCTTGAAATGTAATTAGTAGCTCCTCCACATCCTCATCCAGATTATTTATAAAAATATTGAAAAGTACCAGACCCAGACCCCAGCCCTGTGGCACCCCACTGCATACCTCCCTCCATTCAGATGATATGCCATTGACAACTACTCTGAGTGCAGTTCTCCAACCAGTTCCCTATCCACCTAACTATCCGAGAGTCTACTCCACAGTCCTCTAGTTTACCCATCAGAACATCATGGGGAACCCTGTCAAAAGCTTTACTGAAATCCAGGTAAACAACATCAACAGCATTCCCTTGATCCAGTAAGCTCGTCCCTTGATTCAGCTTGTCACTCAATCAAAGAAGGAAATGAGGTTGGTCCGGCAGGACCTGTTGGGGACAAATCTGTGTTGACTTCCCTGGATCACCAAGTTGTCCTTTAGATGCTCGCAGATTGATCCCTTTAAAATCTGTTCCAGTATCTTCTCTGGGACAGAGGTCAGACTGACTGGCCTGTAGTTTCCTGGGTCATCCCTCCTCCCTTTTTTGAAAATTGGGATAACATCTGCCTTCCTCCAGTGTTGTGGCATGTCTACTATCCTCCAAGAAGTCTGGAATATGATGGACAAAGGCTTTGCAAGCTCTTTAGAAAGTTCTTTGAGCACTCTTCTTCGGTGCATACCATCTGGCCTGGGGGATTTGTACTCATTTAGTGCATTCAGGTTTTTCTCAACCAGGCCTTGGATCGGGCCGGCGCGCTCCGGTACGTCGCTCCGGGAGAGAGGCACCGGGGGGGCGGTCACATGGCGAAGCCCCACCCACTTCTTCAGGCCGCCCTCTGCTTCCAGCCTCATTCTGTTGAAGAACAAGGAAGAAGCAGGAGGGTAAGTCTGCTTCCTCCCCCCCCCACCTGGCCTGGAGGCCCCACCCCCAACTTTCCCGGCGGCACGCTCCACCGGGAAAAATCTCCCCTCCCCCCGGATCTCTGCCTAGCGAGGCTTCTCACATATCTGAAGATTTTCATGTTGCAGCAAGCCTCCCTGGCTCACTGTGAGGTTTGTCCTCTCTGATGGCTGACTTACAGTGCCTAGCAACCCTCAGATACTCTTCTTTGGAGGTATGTCCTTGCCTCCATTTCTTGAACATTTCCCTTTTCTCCCTTAACACATAATGGAGTTCTCTGTTCATCCACACTGGTTTCTTGGATACCCTACCATGTTGCTTTCTCATCATGCCCAAGTTTATTAAAATCTGCCCTACTGAAATCTAACATACACCTGTGACTATGAACTTCCTTGGTCCCCCACAGCAAAAGGAATTCTAGCAGGACATGGTCACTTCCCCCTAAGGTCCCCACCACCTTCACCCCATCTACCATCTCTTGCCTGTTGGTTAATATTAAGTTGAGTATGGCTGAGCCCCTCATAGCTTCCTCCACCACTTGATGTTGTCGTCAGCCAGACAGGTCAGGAATGTGTGTGACTGTAGATACTTTGCAGAGTTTGTCTCCCAGCACACATCAGGGAAGTCGAAGTCACCCATAATTACCAGGTTTGGATATCATGTCAAGCTGTTCACGGAGGGCAGCATCCACCTCTTCAACCTGGTCAGGAGGTCTGTAGCAGACTCCAACAATACTGTTTGTTCTTCCTTCCCTTATCCTCATCCAGATCCTTTCCATTGGGCTGCCACCCTCCACCTGCAGTATTTCTTGGCAAACAAACTCTCTCCTCACATACAGTGCCACCCCGCCTCCTCATCCACTCTTTCGTTTTTCTTGAAAAACTCATATCCATCCACTATTACATTCCAGTCCTGGGAATCATCCCACCAAGTCTCTGTAGTGCCTACTAAATCATATCCCTCTGTCTGCATTAAAATCTCAAGGTCTTCCTTCTTATTGCCCAAGCTTTGGGCATTGGTACATAGATACCTGAAACCCCACACCTTTGACTCCATTAAACCCAGCCCTCCTAGGTAGGCCTCTATTATTTGCTCTCCTTCATTTAAGTCCCTATGTTGGTCATCTGCTTCCCCTTGCGGTGTCAGTTTAAAGCCCTCTCCCACTATTAGAACTGATCTCCAGTTGATATGAGATCAGTTCACCTGAAGAAAATGGCCACTTTGGAAGGTGGCCTCTATGACATAATACCCCATTGAAGTCCCTCTCCTCCCCACCCTCACTTCCTCTGGCTCCACCCCCAAAATCTCAAGGTATTTCCCAACCCGGAGCTGGCATCCCTATTTATAGGCCCATCTCTCCAACTGTATAGCTCCAGCCTTGATACAGTTTAATGGTCATGCCAAGTGTGATGTTAGAGTGGGAGTCCAGAGAATTGGTGTTTACAAATATGACAGCTGTGTTGGCATGGTTGATGAAAGTGGGAGCTGGTCAGTCTCTACAGCCAGAATAAGTGTAGCTGTCGCAGTTGCTACTGATACAATACTGATACAATGCTTATAACTTTCAAAGTGTTTGAATTGTTCTTGTCATGCCTTTGGATGCTAGTTCATAACATACTTGAAAACGCCTGCAAAAAGGGTTTGATCAGAGGCCATGGTGGGACAGATACAATGAATGTACAGCACCAACAAGACCTCTAGACCACCAAGACGACCTCGTCCTCTAGGGGCCTCTTGCAGTGCATGGCCCAAGGATGGCTCTGTCAGCTGTCACCAGGGGAAGTGCCTTCTCAGTTGTGGCCCCTACACTGTGGAATGCACTAATGGATGATACCCGTGCCCTGCTGTTTAGTTTCTGCAGGGTATGCAAGGCCAAATTGTTTAGGTTGACCTTTGGAAGGTAATCACATGTTTGTGCTGTTTTTATTAGTGGTATAGTGATAGCCACAAATTTTAATAGATTAATATTTTAATGCAGGGGTCATTTCGTAGAAAAAGAGCTAGGGGAACTCATTAGCATAACTCATTAGCATATGCCACACCCCCTGACATCAGGGGCCCAGCGGTGGACCTGCAAGGCCAGCGGGAGTGCGAGGAAGCCCCGCCAAGGCCCTCCCTGGCCCCAGGCAGGCAGGGGTGGGGAGAGGCGGGGAGGAAGCAACTTACCCTCCCTCTTCTCCTGCCTCCTCCTGGATGAATGAGGGCCGGAAATGGGGGGCAGGGCTTCGTCGTGTGCCCCATCCCCCGCACCTCACCCGGGGGAACTGCGATCCCCCGCGATCCCCCCCGAATTGACCTCTGTGCACAGGCCTCATTGTAGATGGTTGTATGTCCAGGGTCAGGGTCAGTACGCACAGTCCTGCTCTCCTCTTTGCATGCAGAATGTACAGAGTTGGGATGACTTAGCAGAGCTACATTTTCAGCCCTCTAATCCTGGAATGCGAGTGCACTCGCTTCTCAGTGAAAAAGGGAAATTTATGCTTAACATGGAGCAAGAAACCCTTCACAAATGGGAAAGAATTTAAGGACTCATTCTCACCACTGCTCCGGCAGACTAGCCCCTGTGGGTTTTAGCTTGCTTTTGAAAGCACCCGAGAAACCCTGAAAGCCACATCGATTCTGTGCATGCCAATGATTCTCTGAGCATCACAGAATTAGTACATTAGTATAAGGAGCATCACTGGCAGTAGTTATAGTCAGGGCTATTTTTGGGCACGAACGCACAGGAACAGAGTTCCGGCTGGCTCCTGAGTTGGCTACGCCTAGCAGGAACTCATTAGCACAATAGGCAGAAACTCATTAGGATTAGCTACATTAGGTGTGTGTAGCCTAACATGAAAGGAGTCCCTGCTACAAAAAAAGGCCCTGGGTTTGGACAACAAACAAGGTAAACAGAATAAGAAGCAAAAGATTGTTGAATCTTAAGTGCAATACTGTCTTTTCCCAACTAGTAGGGTTCAAATTCAATTCTTGTAAAGACTCAAATGTTTTCAAATTTTTTTCTTTGGTTAACAATGTTTCATATGTTGCTCTTTTTTCATTTGTTAACAACGCTGGCAGTATGAAGGCTTCTAATGGCAATACCCAGAGTGGTATTTCATTGTAGAATCTTTCTTTAATTTTCTTCCAAGTTTTGTACAACGCCCCTCTTATGATGTGGTTATGGAAGTTTTGATGTATTTTCTCTTTTCCATACCATACATACGCATGCCAGTCCATGTATAGATCATGTCCTTCCAGTTGTAATGTCCTTTTGTCTTCTAGTAATATCCAATCACGGATCCATCCCATGGCTGCTGCTTGGTAATACAAATTCTAGTCTGGTACACCTAAGCCCCCTTTTTCTTTTCTATCACGTAGAAGCTGCCGTTTTAATGTTAATATAAAATACTTGTTTTTATGGGGTTTTTTTTACCATATTGGTTTTAATGTTGTAAGTTGCCAGGAGACCCTTTGGGTGACAGTGACTAAAAAAACCCCTAATAAATAAATTAAAAAAAAGAAGTGCATCAAATAAAGAAAGGACTTTAAACCCAAAAGTGAAGGGAAACTCCTTATTCAGATGGAGTATAAATAGAAAAGCCTTCAAACTTATCCTTTTCCAAATATGACAGATTCCATTTTGAAACAATGATTGCCTTCATGCTTGAGAAGGAAATAGTAAGAAATTCGAATTGCTACCATCAAATGAATCAGTCATGTTACCAGAACGATTTATTTTTATTGTCGTATTTATGGTAAATCCTATATACCTTAGAGAAAATCTACTGAGAGCAGTTGTTAAATGGCTTTTTATAAGTTTGTAAACTGACACAATTATATACGTTTCAAAATGGGGAGCAGGGAACATAGCTTCTATTGCGTCGTATACTATGACCCTCCAATTTCACTAAAAGCAACCACATTTTATTTCATATTATATCAAACATTTGTATCCACATACACTTAACAAATGTACACACTATTTAGATGTAAAAAACACAAACGTTTCCAGGAACTAGTCTTATTAGACTTCTCTAGTTTGTGAAAATGTTTTGGTCCACACACAAAAGAAAACAGGTGAAGGTAAGCATGCAAACTCTTGTTTGGTTCAATTCCAGAGGTAACGGTCTCTTGAAGGTAAATCATAATGTCCTCCGTCTTCCTCTTCAGATGCACAATCTAAAGGCAAACCATAATTGTAATCAATCATTACAATTGGTAATCTTTTCCCTTGATCCATTTCTCTTGAAACTTCATGTTGAGGTTCCCTTCCATAGTCTGCTGAAACTGAACTAACTTTCTGGTGTGCAGATGAAAGGTTACGCATTGGCTGCGAAGGATATGGTGCAAATCTACTTTTCCCTCCTTTGTTAATTCCATCTGAAAGGCGGATTCTCCTGTAATCTTCAGGACAATCATCCCTAAAACATGAAGAAACAAACAAACTGCAAACTTCATATACTGATCATGGATATATTAATGATGGAGGCACACTGACACTAAAAAGGCTGCAAGTCTACAAAAAGAAGTACAAATATAGGTTGGGAATACAGGAAATAAATAAGCTGCCTTTTATTATTTGTCTTCATAACTATTTTTGCAATTTGGAAAGAGGCTTGTTAAATTAAGTTTGTAAAAACAGCCTTTTTCCAAATTATGCTTATTTGGGGGGTTGTGAGCCAGTGGCACAAAAAGGGAATTTAACACAGAAAGCTGATTTTTTTTTCCCATCAGGAGATCAATGTTTTAGTTTCAACAGAAAAAAGGTTACCCATATAGACCCTGATGGATGTGTGCAGAGGACTCAGCCTTCAATCATGCAGGAACTTCTCTGAACGTGGATTTCTCACATAGGCAAAGGCGCAAGCCTTATATGCACATGCAATATTTCTCTTCACAGGAAAGAGCAGGAAGCCTTGTGCAAGCTGAGTCTGTTGTGTACATCAGACCCGATGCACTATTTTGTGCTGATATAATTAATGACCTACTATATTGTTTAAAATAAAGTACAGAAATGTCATCAAATAGCTTGTTTCAGTAAAACTTCAAAAATATCTGTTTTTGTTGTAAAATAATATCTGTGTTACTTCATGCCACCATAAAAGTGCTACCAAGTTGCAGATGACTTACGGTGACCCCATTGAGTTTTCAATGCCCACCTCTGCATAGAAACCCTGGACTTTCTTGGAGGTCTCCCATCCACGCTCTAACCAGGGCTGACACTGCGTAGCTTCCAAGATCTAATAAGATCTGGTTAGCCTAGCCATTCAAAGTCAGGGCCACCATAAATTACATGACCATGTTTCATATTGTCCCAATCTGACCTTCCTGTCTCAGTTACATATATAACAGAAACATATCCCAGAACACTGAAACAGGTTTGTGGTGGATTACAGTGGCAAAGCATGAGTTTATTCCATTGACAGCTGATCCTGGGACTTCTCTACCAAGAACTCATTTGAGGCCCTTTGTCACAGCCCATTAGGGCTGTAGGACTTTCAGACCAATGTTGGTTTTGTTATTGTGTCATTACAATTACCTGTCAATATTCTCATAAAGCATCTCTCCTTATATATAAAAGCATTTTGGTGTGAGACTCGCCTGAATATTCCACACGCCTCCCTAGCCTTTGGGTCCCTGACCTGTCGCTCAGCGGGGGGCCAATCCCTTGGCTGGATTGCCTCCCTCCATCGCCTCGCCCCCGCCCACAGACCCGCCAGGCAGCCTCTCCCCCAGTCTGTGCGGGGCCGCCAGGCGGAATAGACACTCCAGCGCTGGGATATGTGCGAGCCCCAGGTCAATTCTACCCCTGCCATACCTAGCCAGTGGTGCGGGGGGGGGGGGGGGGGGCAGGCCACGAAGCCTCACAAGACCTCCAACCGCCCCCACCTCACCTTCCCCAGCTTTACCACTGCCGCGGCCGGGTGCGGGGAGGCCTACTCGGGCCCCCCTTCTCCGCCGCCGTGCCCCAGTACAAGGACGCTGACTTGCGGCCGTATCCTGGCCGGGTGGGGTCTAAAAAGCCCCTGCTTCACTCACCTCTCTTTTGCCTCCGCACTGTCCTGTCTTTGCTGGCCCTTGCCCCTGCCTTCTGCGGCCGCTTGGTGGCCTCCCGGAGGGCCAGGTAGCGTAGGGCCTCCAGCAGCCGGGGGGGAGTCAGGCTGGCTGACTTCACCCACCAACGCCTTCTCCTGGGGGGGCTGCGCCCGGCCTCCTCCACCCACGGGGGCCTAGAGCACGCTGGTCTGGCAGGGCGCCGGCCGCCCCATCGCGGGAGGGCCACAACCGGTTGCCTTGACACTGGGTCAGCACCGTGGCCGCGCACCTTCGCACCATCACTGCTGGGCCGCCCAGAGTGGCCGGGTGCCCACAGCCCGCTGAAAACGCTAGTGCCGGTTGTCTCTTGCTATAAGGAACCTTCTGACTCCTCTGGCACACTGTCAGGCAGGCAGGTCCTGGATGCGGCGAGCATCTGCAGGGCCTTCAGGAAGGGCGGGTGGACTGCAGCCTCTCCAGGGGGGGGGGCGGTGCACCGGCCCACGCGCCTGTCTTCCCCCCCTCCTGACTTCAGACACCTCTGACAGCGACGGGTTGAGTGCGGGCCTCGAAGGAGGTGGCAGCGCCCCGTCCCACGCAGATCCCTTCCCGGTGCCCCCCCGCTTCGCTTCAGAGGCCTTGGGGGGCATGGGTAGAGGGCGGCAGCAGTGCTGTGCTAGCCACCGTATGCCCCTTTACAGTGCCCTCCCCCCGGCTACAGAGGCCTCGGGCAGAATGGGTGGAAGGTGGCCTCAGTGGTGCGCTAGCCACCGCGGGCCCATTTATGGCCCCCCCACCTGGCTGCAGAGGCCTCAGGGGGAGGGCGGCAGTGTGTCTGCCGCCGCCGTGGACCTGTTTACAGCGCCCCCCGGCTTCAGCAGCCATGGGGGGGAGGGGGGAGGCCAGCGATGCCAGTGCGCTAGCCATCGCGGCCCCATTTACAACACCCCCCCACTTCAGAGGCCTCGGTGGGAGTGCATGGGGGGCTGCGGTGGTGGTGCGCTAGCTGCCACAGGCCCATTTACACCACCACCCCGACTGCAGAGCCCTTGGGGGGGATGGGTGGAGGGAGGCATGTGAGCCTGAAAGGGGCCAGGGAGACCCTTTACAGCCCTCCCCATCCCTTCTCCTGCCCTTCGCCGAGGCCGGCGAGCGGGAGACGCCGGCCAGAGGCCCCCCACCCCGTCCTGGCTCACTCACTGGCTGCTGCAAGTGAGCCAGGAAGGGCCTGGGGAGCTCTTTGAGGCCCTCCCCGTGGCTTCTCCTGCCCTCCCGCCGCACAGGAAAAGCCAGCCACGGCCCACCCACCCCTCACCTGGGAGCGATTGCTAGCGCCCGTCGCATTCCTGTCCGCGACGGGCCTTTTCTCCTAGACATAAAAATAAATGAATCGAATTTTTGCCATTGCTGCAATCCTGTGCCCATTTATTGGTAGCTGATCTGATGAAGCGAACTTTGACTCATAAAAATTTATGCTGGAATAAATTTTGTTAAGTCTCTAAAATGCCATTGGATGGCTGTTACATGAAATATAAATAAGCCATCCTTAGACAGATATAACTCTGCTTAGGATGGCACTGTGAATTAGTTTAGTGCAGATATATCCTTTCACTATAGTTAAGTTGGGAGGTAGGAGTTCATTGTAGAACAAAGAGGTGGGGCAGGGGAGAAGAAAAAAATGATTCTGTAGTAAGATCTTAATTATGGTTAACCAGGAGCCAGCCTGACATCTGCACTTACCCTTACAGAAAAATCTTTATCCTCAAAGCTGACTTCTCAAGACTGAACTAATTAATTTTTACAAGGATTATTTTGTCCACAGGACTGCCTTTTGACAAAAGAGAAAACAGCAGGGGCAAGAGGTGATTATTTGTCTGCCATTTACTGAGTAGAAATCAGTCACATGTATGTAAATGTACAAAAACATTACCTGTAATTTCTATTAGAATCTTCTTTATCAGAGACGTAATCTCTGCAAAATATGGAAGAATCTGGGAAATGCTCACGAGAAGGCAAAGACTGACCTCTAAAAGGCACAAAGCAAATTAAAAACATATTAGTGTAAAGTAAAAAAAACCCAACACCTCGGTCTTAAATAAATATATATGGTACTATATAAAAATGTTTATAATATGAAAATGATCCAGTCTAAACATTACTGGCTTGCCAAAATGCAGTTAAAGAAATTGCAATTTGTTTACTGTCACCAAATTTTTATTCCGTCACAATATTCACATGATTACCATTCATCATTCCATAAATATGACAAACTATTCAAATTTTAATTTGCTAACAGAGAGATGCTCAGAGATTCATGGCAATAAAAACAAACAAACCTGCAGCTGTTTATCAGACTGCTCAGACTACCAAACTCCAGCAGTAAATAGAAATGAGTGAAAACTTAATCTCTTGGACCCAGGTCTACTTTCAATTATAGAAGGGAACGCTGGGTCCCAAATTCCCACAGAATCACCCCTCCAGCTGCAATCTCCCATACAACATCCCATGAAATACCTGAGGGCCCCCTGAATTACAACTCGCTTTGTGGGAGGATGCAGTAGTCTAGAAAAGTGGAAAGGGGGAGAAAGTAATATTCTGTTGTATGAGCAGAGTTCTGCTTGTCCTGTCTTGGATCCAACCCAAGAACTTCTACAGCCTACTTTTCAGTTACAGTAATTAATAGCAACTGCTGACAAAGACAGGAATATTTTGTCTACAGCTTTTCTCACCTTTCTAAATATCCTTCATGTGACACCCCATCACGAGGTGAGTGGTTATTAAACGGTCTCATCCTTTGTTCAGGTCCACTGTCTACAAAATCTCTCTGTTGTGCAGGCTCACTGAAATCCCCATAGGACTGATGATCATGAAAAGATCTGCATCTTGGATCAGAATCTCTGTCTTCAAAATCTCCGAATGCCATCTCTCTTCGTAATTCATTGTCATGTTGGCAGTCAAGGAGAGGTCTTATTCTTTGTCCACGGCCTCTACTAACAAACTCAAAATCTCCCACTGGTGGCTGCATATCACTGTGAGGGGGACAGTCATGAAAAGGTCTCATTCTTTGCCCACGTCCCATGTTGAGGAAAGGCTGGTCTTTTAATTGCATACGTGGCTGCAATTCGTCATTAGACTGCTGGTCATAAAATGGTCTTGGTCTTTGTCCACGCCCCCTAGTAAGTGGCATATCTGTAGGCATATCATTGTCAAGAAAACGTCTTTGTCCACGCCCCCTATGAGGCGGCATATCTGTAGGCATATCACTGTCAGGAAACTGTCTTTGTCCACGCCCCCTATGAGGCGGCATATCTGTAGGCATATCACCATCAGGAAACTGTCTTTGTCCACACCCCCTATTAAGCGACATATTTGTAGGCATATCACCATCAGGAAAATGTCTTTGTCCACGCCCCCTATGAAGTGGCATATCTGTAGGCATATCATTGTCAAGAAAACATCTTTGACCACGCCCCCTATGAAGCGGCATATCTGTAGCCATATCACCATCAGGAAAACGTCTTTGTCCACGCCCCCTATTAAGCGGCATATCTGTAGGCATATCACCATCAGGAAACTGTCTTTGTCCATGCCCCCTATAAAGCTGCATATCTGTAGGCATATCACTGTCAGGAAAATATCTTTGACCACGCCCCCTATTAAGTAGCATATCTGTAGGCATATCACTATCAGGAACATGTCTCTGCCTCTGTCCACGGCCCATACTAACAAGTTCCCCTGGTGGTGCATTCTCTAGAAGGCCGTCGTGAAACTGATGATCAGGAAAAGATCTTTGCCACTGTTCTGAGTCCCTGACAGCAAAATCTAAATCTTCCTGATAACTTTCTTCTTGATAGTCATCATAACACTGAGGTTCAGGAAAACGCCTTTCCCTTATTTGCATTAGTGGCTGCAATTCTTCTTGAAACTGGAGGTCATGATATGGTTTTCGCCGTTGCCCAGGACCCTTGTTAATAAAATCAAATTCTCTCAACTGGATCTGTCCTGACAAGTCATTGTGGGGGTGACAGTCTTCATAAACTCTTAGTCTTTTCTCAGGCCTGTTCAGAAAATGGAAGGTTTCTCGTTAAGAAAAAAATCTCAAAATTAGCAAAGCATTAACATGCAGTGCTGTACAAGTCTTTTAAAGGTTCAATTCAAATTAATGAAAATCACCAGGCGAATATTTAGCCTTTTGTTATAACACTATATTCAGATATAACTAACAACGGTTTCATGGGTATAAGAATGAGCTGCAGAAGTATCACTGATGAAATGAGCTCTGACCAACAATAGCTTTTGCTGAAATAAATGATATTGATCTTTAAGGAGCCACTCTGCTTTTGTCTAGTTTTCCTCAGAATTTCCTTTCCCTCTCCTGTCTGGAACAAAACACAAGTTTGTCCTTATAACTAAACACAAAACTGTAATTTGTTCCTAGCCTAGAAGCCAGGATTTGAATCACAGTTTAATCCTAATATGGAATCCTGCTTTATGTGGCGATAGGGGATCAGCGGTCCTGGAGGTGGCCCCTCGAATGCGCCCCCTTGCCCAGATTGCCCAGAGTTGTGGGCTTGGATGTCATCAATATGCAGATGACACCCAGCTATATCTGATGTTGGGCGGCCGGTCGGACTCCACTCCAGATGACCTTCACCGGACGTTGCAGGCTGTGGCTGGTTGGCTCAGACTGAGTCGGCTTAAATTAAACCCGGCAAAGACGGAGGTCCTGGGCCTGAGTCGGATCGGTCCGGGGCTGGGGCTCCCTCTCCCGACCTTCGATGGGGCGCCGTTGGTGCCAGCTTTGGAGGTTAGGAGTTTGGGTGTGCTCCTGGACTCCTCGTTAACAATGGAGGCCCAGGTAGCAGCCACTGCCAAGTCGGCCTTTTACCATCTGTGGCTGGCGCGGCAGTTGGTCCCCTTCCTCGACCGTGATGACCTGGCCACAGTGATCCATGCGACGGTCACCTCGAGGCTAGACTACTGTAACGCTCTCTACATGGGGCTGCCTCTGTCGCAAATTCGGAAGCTTCAACTAGTGCAGAATGCTGCAGCCAGGCTGTTGATGGGTCTCCCTAGACGGGATCACATCCGGCCTGTGCTAACAGCGCTGCACTGGTTGCCAATGGCGTACCAGATTCGCTTCAAAGTGCTGGTTCTCACCTTTAAAGCCCTTTATGGCCAGGGACCGGCCTACCTAAGGGACCGCCTTTCCCCGCATGTTCCTCCAAGGGCACTACGGTTAGGGAGCCGACACCTCTGGATATTCCAGGCCCCAAGACCATCAAACTCGCTATGACCAGGGCCAGGGCGTTTTCGGTGGCGGCTCCTACCTGGTGGAATGAGCTCCCAGAGGAGATCTGGGCCCTGTGGGACCTTGTGCAGTTCCGCAGGGCCTGTAAAACGGAGCTCTTCCGCCAGGCTTTTGAGTAGGAGCCGCCGCCACCATTATTCCACCAATGCCTTTTCATCACCACACTCTACTACCGCAGGTGCAGGTATCATTGAGGGTACGGGATATCCCTAGTGGACGACAGGGTTGTGGGGACATATATTGTTGTTGTTTAGCTAAAACATCATCAGAATACCATCTTGGTTTATGATTCGGAGTGAGTATCGGAGCGCCGAAAACTTATTCTTACTAATTTTAATTAACTGTAATACTTGTATTATTGTATTTTATACTGCTTTTATTGTTACAACTTGGCATTTTGCCCTTGTTAGCCGACCTGAGCCTTCGGGGAGGGCGGGATACGAATCCAAAGAATAAATAAATAAATGTGCAAGAAACAAACCACACACCACACTGTGGTTTGTTCTGATTCAGGAAGTTTTCAGTATTGAAGCTGCCTGGGAAAGCAAGGGCAGGAGAGAGTGGAAGTGAGCAAGTCTGAGGACTTCAGAGACTTTTTAAAAATAATGAAAAACAGTTGTTTGTTCATGAACATTTAAATGCAGTGTTAAAGCTTACATGGCAATTTTAATCAGAAAAAAATATTTGGCTGTGATTAAAATACTTCAGTACTTAATAATGTTGATCTCATTTCAGTTAAGTTTAAGTACTGAAAATTGAACTTCATAATCTTAGCAACTTATCTTTTTCCTTACCACTTTTCATTCAAGTAAAAGAAATTTTGCCGTTTACCTTGGAAATTCTTCACTTGGAAACCCATCCATTTCATTTGGTAGTGGTATTTCTACATCGACATCCCATATATTCATTCCAAGATTGCTAGATGTTTGTTTTTTTAAAAAAAGAATATAAGAAAAAAAGGGGGGGATAACATGGCTTATATCAGTGAAGAAAGGAGGAGGCATTTCTCTGTTAGTTCTGTACCTTATACATGATGCCTATTAGGCTAGTTTCATATATCTGATTCATGCAATGTTTTTATGAATGAAGGTCTAGTGTGTTCAGTCAGAATGCCTGACATCTCAGATCCATACTGGGATTCACTAATATCTGTACTGATTGCTTATAAGAGAATCCTATCTATTTTGCCCCGGGGCAAACAGCCACACTTCTCCTCTGCAGTTTCCTGCCCGTGTGGCAGGGGCCTATATACATTCAGAAGTAACCAAACTGCAAGATTTATTCTTAAATGATGCTGAAACAGAGGTAGCATGACCACAGCTTGCCCAGTGTGGTCTCTACTCCCAAGCTTCTATATGACAGAATTAACCCAAGTGACTTCTGAATGTAGTAAGTTCGGTACTTGTGAGGCAAACAGGAAAAGAACAGTAAAACAGGGCTTCGCTTACCTGTGACTGTTGTTCTTCTACTGTCTTCTGTGCAGGCATACATGGGACTGTGTACATGCAGGTCAGCTGTGAGAATAAAATTGCAAGCTTCCAGTGTTTTCTAGAACTAAGAGTGCTCCCCCTCCCCACCAATGGAGCCAAAAGCAGGAACTTTCCCACCCAAAAAGGTAATGTGATGGAGGCAGGGAGAGTGCTCCTCCCTCAGCCTCTCTCTTCGCCAGCGTGAAGAGGGAATGCACGAATTCCAACTCTGTTTTTTCCTCATCTGTCTTTCCAAACAATCTCTTCGAGTGGGATATGGCATTAAGAAATGTTGCTAGTGCGACTTAAAAATGGCTCAAAATGATGAGCACGATGATTGTCCTTTTTGCTTGGGTGAGGGGCATAATACGTCCAACTGTACTGTATGCCATGTACTTACACCCAAAGTCAGACATGACAGAACCTCAGCACTGATGTAAGTGTTATGGGAGAAATCCCTGGCGACAGTGGAAAAACCTTTGGACAAGCCTTCAAGGTAGGTGTACACTCCCTCGGTAGCATCAGTACCTGCAGCTCAGCCGAAATCCTCGGATCCGAGCTTAGTGCCTCTGAGGGCCTTTTTGGAGACACCCATTGAAAAGGAAACGAAAAAGTTAAGGCACACCTCCTCTAAATTGCCTCAATATTTGAGTTCCTGTTCTCGGCTCTGTTGGAGGGGAAGGGGAGCACTCCTAGCTCTAGAAAACACTGGAAGCTTGCAATTTGATTCTCCATGACTGGCCGGACTGCACTTAAGACAATTAACTTTCATTTCCCCCCGGGGTAACGGAATAAGGTGGTTCAGAAAAGAGGACAGAAACTATTTACAGAAGTAACAAAGTCTTTCTGGGACCACTCAGTTATAAGGTTACAGTTGATAATTTAGGGGCGCAGGGAGCAGTTAACAGCCATGTTTCCCCCAGAAACTAAAGTCTAAGATACCACAGTCTCCTAGCAAAGAATTTCTTTCAGCCTATTCCTCTAGAGGCAAAACCCTATCTCCACCACTTTACTACTTTTGCCCATGCTTGCTCAAAAGACAGACTCTAAGATTCTTGAAATCCCTTGATAAATCCCCTTTCCAACCTATCACTCTGGAGACACAAGTCCTATGTAACTAAAAACTGAGAGAGTCTCTCCACTTTCTCTCACTCCCCCCCATCCCATCTGGCTCCTCCAGCCCTTCCAGGGATCTTGACTGGTTGCTGGCCACTCGGCTCACAAGCCAAACGGGACTAACAGGGATTGGTGTTTATTTCCCTCTGTTCATCTGTCAGGCCATCATATCAAAAGTCTAAGGAAATATGTACTGGATTCATATAAAACTCCTGACAGCCTTGATAATTAAAAAAAAAAAAAGGTCTTCACTTACCTCCTCATTGGTTGGGTTTTGAGATCAGTCAAATATATGCCACGATCCATATGGTGACCACGAGCCTCCCCAAAAGCTAAACAGATTTTGAGAACATTAGTATATGTGGAGTGCAGTTTTGTAAAATGTGGGGTAGAGGGCTGCTAATGGTGTCTCCACTTATGCTACCGCCAAGCTGGAACCTGTTACTTTATTAATTTTTTTAAATCCTACAGTACCTTGGATAACCAATTGATGTATCATCTGGAAATGATAACTATAGAGGGGCCAACGTAAAGCTGGCTTCCTGTTAACCATGGTTAACAACTGGTAGCTAGCCACAGAAATTCAAGCTCCCTTCTGGAGGCTTCTCCTTTCACTAAAGCAAATCCCTCTCTACTGCCTGAGTTATGGTGAAGTGTTTCATTGACTATGGTTAAGGTTAACCAAAATTCCCTATTTAATCAGGATGTGAAACTATGGTGGGTGGTGTGTGTGCATTGTAAAAGTGCACATTCCTGAGCCCAGCACTTGATTTGTTAAGTGTACTAAACAAGAATGCATTGTTAAGGTCTGAACTGACCCATTTAACACTACTTGCAACTGCTGCTATAAAGACCATACTTTAAAACTCATTCAATTTTTGTCAATGACTTTCACATGCTATAGCACTCAAAGAAAGGGCTGATGCATTACACTGAGAATACCTTTTAATTTATGAGAGCTGCTTGTCTGCATGAACATGAACTAATATACCACACATCTCAGCCACAACACTGTAGTCCAACTTATATGTCAATCATTATATGGTTAGATTTGCAATTGTGAAATTGCTACATCTTAGGTCTTGGAGCTACAGGTTCACATGCTTTGTGCTCATGCAAACACACAGCTACAAAAAGGAAATATGTTAAAATGTTTTGAAAACAATGTCAAAACTGGCTTATCAAGAAACACATGTGGAAGTGACAGATTACATAGCCAGAATCCAACATCCCCATTTATGTAGAAATTGCTTCCACATGTGTATGGGCAAGTCGGCAATTTCCACTTCTGTTGTATCCTACTGTTCCCCCACTATCCAGCAATAGACTTTTGTAGGAGGGGCTGCAGGGGGTGCTAGAAAAATAAGAGTACATGTGTGTTCTTCAAGTGGATCCCAGTTATGGTAATGGCCATGAAAATGCAGTGTATGCAGAACATTAGATTATGCTAAGTAGTACAGATATACCTTGGATTGCTGTTTCTGGATCCCAGCCTTCAACATCAATCAGGTATCTAAAGGGAAATACTCATAGATATGGATCATCATGACAGAACATGTCATTGGAGTAAAAATAATAATTTGATCTTTAATGTAATACTTACCTACATATAAGGTAACCTGTTCTATTAACTCCATTAGTACAATGTACTCCAATTAGTTTTTCTGTTTAAAAATCAAAATGTAATTTGAGTAATTTGCATCACAAAAATTAACTAAAAGATGAGGCTTTGAAATCATAGTCGCTGTTTACAGAACTGGTATATTTACAGTGTCATCCTAAACAGAGTTACACCATTCTAAGTGAAATCAGGTGAATAAACCCAATTGAATAATACGGAGTATTGCTGCTTTACGTGCTCCCTTGATTTATTAAAATCAATGAGAAACAATAAAAACAGGTTGCTTACCTGTAACAGATGATCTTCGAGTGGTCATCTGTGCAGTCACATCTATGGGATCTAGTGTGCCTGCGCTGATCTGATCGGTGTTGTACAAAGCTCACAATGGGATTTTCGTGCCTCCACCCTGAGCCTGCGTGGGAACCCCAACTGCGCATGCCCAGAGGGGTGGCGCGCAAATGTCCCGCCAGTTCCTTCTGACCACTATCAACCAAAGCCGTGTAAGGAAAATGACTGAGGATGACAGCAGTGGGGAAGGACGGGCGGGCAGTGTGACTGCACAGATGACCACTCAAAGATCATCAGTTACAGGTAAGCAACCTGTTTATCTTCTTCGTGGTCTCTGTGCATCACACCTATGGGAGATTGAAAAGCAGTGGCTCACCTGGAGGTGGGCGCTGTCAGGCTCAGTGCTCTGCAGAGGACAAGACCAGACGACCCAGATCAACCTTATTCTGCGCACGAACATCTAGTACGTAATGTTTAATGAACGTGGTTGGCGTGGACCACGTGGCAGCTTGACAGATAGAGGGCAGTGATGTGCCCTTCATGAAAGCTGTGGAGGTTGCCATCGACCTGGTAGAATGCACTGTCAAGCGTGCAGGGAGGGGACACTTCGCTAACAGGTAGCATAACCAAATCATCCCAATGATCCATTTTGACAAGCGCTGAGCTTAGATCCTTGACCCTAGTGAGGAGTTGGAGTATGAGAGGAACAGAGTATTATCTCTCCTAGTAGACTGAGTCCGATTCAGGTAGAAGAGGAGTGCCCTCTTGACAGCGAGAGTGTGAAGAAGGCGTTGTTCTTCCCCGCCAGGGCAATGGAAGAAGTCAGGCAGGAAGATTTTGGAGTTCAAATGAAATTTCGACACTATTTTCGGTAGAAAGGAGACGTCCGGCAGCAGACGTACCCCATGTGGCAGGAAGACTAGATATGGAGGATCATGGCATAGTGCCATCAGTTCGCTGACCCTACTGGCTGATGTGATTGCCACCAAGAACGCAGTTTTCCATGCCACGTATTGAAGGTTGCAGGAAGCCATAGGTTTGAACAGCTTTCTCGTGAGGTGGCGGAGCACCAAGGGCAAATCCCACAACGGTGTTGGAGCCCTCACAGGGAGATACAACTGCATGAGCCCTCGAATGAACTTCTTCGAAATGGGATGTGCGAATATCGAATAACCATCCAATCCTATGTGGTAGGCAGAAATGGCTGCCAGATAGACCTTAATTGACGAGTGGCAAAAGCCCTGATCAGCGAGCGACAGGAGGAACTCGAGGATCTTATCCAGACTCACAGACCTTGGTGAAGTAATTGGAGTCTGCAAGTAGGAAAGGAACCTAAGCCACTTCCTCTGATAGGAAAGACGAGTGGACGCCTTTCTAGCGTTGATAAGGACCTCTGAGACACAATCAGAGAAGGTTATCGACTTATCCGCCAAGCTGTCAGTTTCAGATTGTCTACTCCGATGTAAAGAAGTGATGCGTTTCCGCAAGGAGGAGATCCGGCTCTCTGGGGAAGTGGTGGTACCTACTCCTTGCAAGTTGGAGAAGAGTGCTGAACCACGGCTGCCTGGGCCACCATGGAGCCACTAGGATACAGTTTGGCCTGACTCTGGCTAGTTTCTGAACTACTCGTAAGAGGAGGGGTAGAGGAGGAAACATATAGAGGGGTGTCTCTCCCCATGGGTAGAGGAGACCGTCTCCTAGAAAGAGAGGGTCCACTCCCCCTGACTGCAAAAGAAAGGACACCTTTGCATACGCCCTGGTATCAGGTGGCAAAGAAGTCGGTCTCATCCAGGAGTGCCTATGAAGGGCAACCGCTGAAGACATAGTCTTGGAGAAAGTATCCAGTGAGTGCTTAGACGAATTCAGAAGCTGCTTAGTCAGAACCATGCCTTCCTTTTGTAGGGTTCGGGCTGCTTGAGTTTTGTCCTCAGGAAGAAAGGGCAAGATGTCAGAAAGATGTTGCCATAATGCATACTGGTACCTACTCATACATGCAATGTAATTGGATGTTTTGATTCCCAGGGCACCCGTTAAGTAAAAGCGTCTCCTGAAAGCATCAAGCTTCTTGCTTTCCCTGTCAGGAAAGCATATGAGTGCGTCTAGTTCTGGAAGAAGAGAAGACAACCATGGAGTTTGGTTTTGGATGGACATGTAGAAAACCAGCTCCTTCCTCTTGCACTCTATACATGTGATCCAGTCTCCGTGTTGACACCGGTGTGGATGAGGGCTTCTCCCAGGGCACCTGCACTGCATGTAGGAGTACTTTCGACATCGGGAGATCACTGTGGACGTGTCCATCTGGACAACATCATAAACCGCGTCCGATATCGATGATTAAGGTTGGATGATAGACAGACCCTATGAATGAGCCATTCTTTTGACTAAATCTCCATATGAAGACAAGTTCTCAGATGGGGAGATAGGGAGGTCTTCGGAGACCTTATGTTTTGGAGAGGTATCTCCCTGTGAGATCTCACCCTCGGACTGGTTGACATCGGAAGCGACTGGAGAGGCTTCGGAAGGCGATGGAGACCTCTGGATAGGAATCGGCAGTGTATGAAGCTCCTTCGGAGTAACTGATGATGGTGGTGGAGGAGGCGATGGAAGATGAGGCGTGACTTGCCTCGGAGAAGGAGATTTCGGTGGTTTGGAGAGGGATGCAGAGGGTGGTGGACGACAAGGAGAATGGGGTAGGGTCGAGCGGTGGTCCCAATCCTCTGGTCTCACAGGCGTTAGCCAAAGCATTGATGCCGAAGGAGGGTAGGAAGAGAACCAGTACGGTATATGATGATGATGATCCCACGGGGGAAGCATCGATGAATGATGTCAGTATCGGGAAGGAGAGCCCTGACCTGAAGGTGGCTTGGGTGAATAATCCCTCCTCGGTGATCGGGATGAGTGGTGCCAATCAAGACTGGCTGTATATTCATCCTGTCATGCCCACTGTGCAGCCTGACCCAGTGGACCCTGATCCCGGGGATTCTGTACCTTCAGTGTTCGAGAATGAACTCCCTGCACCCCTGGAAGTACCAAACCTAAGTCCTGCAGAGGATGAGCACCAGCTACCAGGAGAGTTTACACCTGGAGCTGCTCCTGCAGAGCCAAGCATGAGCAGCACGCCTCCTGATTCCCCCCCACATGTGAATCGTTTGAGAGAACAAAGGCAACAGGACATGGCAACCCGGCATAAAGAGGCATGCATGCGACGTTGGCGTCCTCCAAGTCCAGAGTACTGACTGGAGCCAGGACTCTGTGAGCAGCCAGTAATTGGTTAACAAGTGGAATGGGCTTTTAAGGCAGCTCTCTCGAATTCCCAACTCGTGCTGGCAACTAATCGCATAGACGAATTGCTGCACCTCGGATCATGCTTCCTGGTTTTCCTCTTGACTCCCTTGGCTCCTGACTTCGGACTGCGTTTCTCTGGCTCCCTGACTTTGGACTGTGTAACCTGACTCTTGACAACGGCTTTCGGCTTTTGAAACTCTGACTGCAAATCTCCAGTAACCTTAGACTATGTATTGACCTGGTATTTTGGACTCTGCTCTGGTTTCTCTGCCTTATCTGGTGCCCTGACCTCAGCCTGTGTTTTTGGATTTTCCGTGCCCTGCCTGGCCCGCCAGAGCAATCGTGACACATCCTATCGACCTCGATCATCCATGCAGCCTGGAGAACGGGATCGGTCATCGGGTCAATATCGACGGTCCGGGTCGGAATGGCCGTTGGTCTTTGCTGCCAGAAGCCGCTATTACATCACCTTCAGAAGCCGATACAGATGGGGAGCGTCGTCCAAGGTTCATGTCTTGTACCAGAGGGTTCGGCTGTCTGACTGGAGAGTCAAGAATTTCAATCCGTGGCATCGATTGTACATCCGGCAGCTCCGGTATAGACTGATGCGTCGATAGGGAGTGCGACTGCGATATTGTCAGCAGTGCAGAACCCTTAGGGAGTACTACGCTGCTCACCTTGTGAGACTTATGCGTGTTCCCAGTGGACGACTTGTGGGAGGTATGTTTCTCCGACTTATTCCTCTTCTGTTTCTTCACCTTGCTTCTTAACCGAAGGTTGTGTGCTCTTAGGTGCGTCTTTCTCCATGAAGGTAAAACCTTTTTTGTTGCTGTTAAGTCCGATTTCGGGGCTGGTAGGCTTCGGGTTCGGCGGAGCCAAGGGTTCAGGCAGCCATTCCCCTTAGTCCCGCCCCGGAAGTCCCTACCAACGACTTCTGAGGGAGTTCAGATGACATGGTTGAAGACGGAGGGGCAAGGGCCGATTCCCAAAGGGCGACTTTCAACCTTGCTGCTCTATTTTTGCACGTTTGGTTTGAAAATTTTGCGCAGAAAGCACAACCCCCCGGACGGTGAGATTCACTCAAATTATACAGAGTGTGTGTCCGTCTCGCGGAGCTAACTTACTGCCACACGAGGCATACCTCTTAAAACACCCCCACTTCTTATCCATAAACAGTTCCTAAGATGTGAGGGGAGAAGGGGAGGGGGTTGATGGTCCAAAGACCACGGAAAGTTCTCACCCGCCTCCTCTTCTAACAGTTCTTGACAAAAAGTCCAATATTCTGAGAAATAATCCAATGGAAGAAAAACGAAGAATTCCCGAAGTGATGAGAATAGGAACAAGCACCTATCGACGAAAGCTGCTAATAGCACGGCGGTCAGAAGAGAACTGGCGGGATGTCTGCGCTCTACCCCTCTGGGCATGCGCAGTTGGGGTTCCCACGCAGGCTCAGGGTGGAGGCGTGAAAATCCCGTTATGAGCTTTGTACAACACCGATCAGATCAGCGCAGGCGCACTAGATCCCATAGGTGTGAGGCACAGAGACCACGAAGAAGATTCAACAAATGTTTACTTAATCAATAGGTATTAATCACAAAATAGCATGAATACTATTAGATTTCAAACATGAGCATGTGGTTACTGAACTATGAAGTGACAAAGCATATAGTTACAGAAATGCAGCATTTCTAATTCTTACTCTCATTACCAAAAGCATGATTAATTTGAATACAGTCCCTGAAACATCCTAACAGTCTCCAGGGAAATACAGGTTTAGGTTTCCCTATCCTCCTCATGCATTTAAAAGCAAGCTAGTTAATCAACCAGAAGTAATAGTACAAGGTTTAAAATAGTATTACAATCAGTATGTAAATCAGAGAATTCTCAGCCAAGAATATTAAGTAATTTTAAGACAGAATAAATATCTCCAGGGTCAATGGGGTAGGTTTGTCTAAACTACAGGCAACTTTCTCTGTAGATGAAGTGACAGAGGTGAGAAAGAAACTTAAGATGACAAAGTACCAGGTCTGGATGGCCTCAGAGATGAATTTGATAAAGTATGTATTGATAAAATTAAAATTCCTTTTGTAGCAGCTATAAATGAGTCAATTCATCTCCAAAATAAGTCTTCCTCTTAGAAGGGGCAAAAATAATTCCCATTTCTATATCATATCAGGAGTTCAAGATCCAGTGATCCATAACTGCAAACAGAGCAAATATTATCCAGAAATTATTCTGGATGTTCAAGATCAGACAGGATTCTGAGAGAACAGAGGACTTGATCTTAGCACATCAAAAATAGTATATTAAATGATGAATTATATCAGTGTCGAGGAGTGGGAGATCGGTGCTCTTAATGTTTAGGCTTCTTTTTTTACTTCTTTGAAGGTGGCTTCGACACTGAGAGGGAGTGCATTGGCAGTATGGTTGGTGCTGAAGTTGATGGGGTTGGTACCAATGCTATCAAAGTAGCCCTTGATCTTTTATCAATTTGCAACCGTTTTTCTGCTTGGGGTTCTGTGCCACCCAAAGCCTTCTCCCATAAGGCAGCTTTAAGCCTAGCCGCTCTCCCTTCCCTGGCTTTACGGGTGAGTCGATGGCAGGCTGAACACAAAGTTGTTTTGTGTCCCTTCCTAAACAGAGTAGGCAGGATTTGTGGTCATCGTTCTGAGCCATTGTGGCTCTGCACTACTCACACTTTTTAAATAAGGCTATCAGGCCGTCAGTACTCACAAATATTAAGAACAAACTATGAGGAAGAAAGAAAGGTTTGTGCTGTCCACATGACAGCAAAAGGAGAACTGAGGGAAGAGTGCTCACCCTGCCCTCATCATATGAGGGAAAGGGATACACTGAAGACAAGGGTGGGGAGGAGAACTCACTGGCTCTAGAAAGATCTTTTCTAAAGCTTGTTAGCTCTTTCACAGCTGGCCTGCGACTGCACAGTCCCCATGTATGCCACGACAATTAAGCATTCTTACACATTTGGTATGGCCTGAACTCAACCCATTTGGAATGCCTTTAATAATATTTTCTTTCTTGCTCCAAGAAACAGATCCTCTCTCAGTACTCCTATATGTATCCACTTGCTTTACTGCAAAGAGCATTTCAGAATTCATATAGCACTGTACCCTTATATTTGATATCAGTAAGGAAAAAATGTAAAATCCCATATTATTCTTGATAAGAACTGAGAACCCTGGCTCCATATTAATAGATAAATTGCAATTCATAAAGTGTACATTTATAGGTAAATACCATTAGCAACCTTAAATAAAATTTAAAATGCTGTTCATTACCATTTCCTGCATTTTCCCATAGGAACTTTCTGACCCATTTTTTGAACTGCAGAATAGTAGGATCATCTGGGACTTCATGTCCAACAGTGTAGAGTTTCTTATATTCTACAGTTCTAGGCAAATCCTAGCAATAAAATGGTGAACAAAATTGCAACTAATGTTAGTCATTATATTACTATATAGCTATATGATTAATACCATATTTAAAATACAGGGTAAAAACAAACTAAAGGGTCAAGAGGCCCTGTGGTAAGAGGGGTAACACAAATATTACAGTCTCTCAGGGGCTTAAGCAGGCTAATTTCCCCTGCCTTTTTTCTTTTGACTCTTGGCTGTTCTCAGCATTCTGTAGTCCTGAAGCATTTTCATCTGTCTGTTTTGTTGGTGTTATGTACTGAGCCTGAAATGTACCGGGAAACTGACTAAACTTGGGCACCAGAACAATGGACCATGCTCCATCATTACATACAGTAATCAAACCCCATCGTTCTGAGCCATTGTGGCTCTGCACTACTCACACTTTTTAAATAAGGCTATCAGGCCGTCAGTACTCACAAATATTAAGAACAAACTATGAGGAAGAAAGAAAGGTTTGTGCTGTCCACATGACAGCAAAAGGAGAACTGAGGGAAGAGTGCTCACCCTGCCCTCATCATATGAGGGAAAGGGATACACTGAAGACAAGGGTGGGGAGGAGAACTCACTGGCTCTAGAAAGATCTTTTCTAAAGCTTGTTAGCTCTTTCACAGCTGGCCTGCGACTGCACAGTCCCCATGTATGCTTGCACGGAAGACACGACAATTAAGCATTCTTACACATTTGGTATGGCCTGAACTCAACCCATTTGGAATGCCTTTAATAATATTTTCTTTCTTGCTCCAAGAAACAGATCCTCTCTCAGTACTCCTATATGTATCCACTTGCTTTACTGCAAAGAGCATTTCAGAATTCATATAGCACTGTACCCTTATATTTGATATCAGTAAGGAAAAAATGTAAAATCCCGTATTATTCTTGATAAGAACTGAGAACCCTGGCTCCATATTAATAGATAAATTGCAATTCATAAAGTGTACATTTATAGGTAAATACCATTAGCAACCTTAAATAAAATTTAAAATGCTGTTCATTACCATTTCCTGCATTTTCCCATAGGAACTTTCTGACCCATTTTTTGAACTGCAGAATAGTAGGATCATCTGGGACTTCATGTCCAACAGTGTAGAGTTTCTTATATTCTACAGTTCTAGGCAAATCCTAGCAATAAAATGGTGAACAAAATTGCAACTAATGTTAGTCATTATATTACTATATAGCTATATGATTAATACCATATTTAAAATACAGGGTAAAAACAAACTAAAGGGTCAAGAGGCCCTGTGGTAAGAGGGGTAACACAAATATTACAGTCTCTCAGGGGCTTAAGCAGGCTAATTTCCCCTGCCTTTTTTCTTTTGACTCTTGGCTGTTCTCAGCATTCTGTAGTCCTGAAGCATTTTCATCTGTCTGTTTTGTTGGTGTTATGTACTGAGCCTGAAATGTACCGGGAAACTGACTAAACTTGGGCACCAGAACAATGGAGAGCCAGGATCCTGGAATGGACCTATTGAGTAGGAGTTGTAATGTAAATAGCCTATCATGAGGAGTGTGTGTGTGTGGGGTGGGGTGTTTTGCACGCGTATAAGCAGGACTCCAGCCCTGCTAGAGTTGTCTTATTGTTAAGCTGAAATCACTAATAAACTATGACCTGATCACTTAACACTTCTCAAACTCAGTATATTTCACTGGCGACAAGGATGGGAGCCTGTTGAGTCAGCCCAGCGCTCTCCAGCACCGCACTGCGCACCTAGCTCCAGTGCTTAGCACAACGCATTGCTACCAGGACCATGGCTGCTGCTCCAGGACACTTCGATGCCTTCGACGCCACCGTAGAGGACTGGGAGTCCTACGTCAGCCAGTTTGAGTTCTTCCTCGAGTCCGCTGGGGTCGAGGCTGCAGAGAAGAAGCACACCACTTTCTTCCGGGTATGTGGCCGCATAACCTACGGGATCGCCCATTCGCTCATCATTCCTGGGGCGCTCAAAGACACGGCCTACCAGCAATACTGGACCAGCTCAAGGAACACTTCTCCCCTAAGCCGTCTGTCATCACCACACGCCATGCATTCCACACGAGGAACCAGACCGCCAATGAATCCATCATGGATTTCGTTACAGAACTATGGTGTATCGCGCGGCACTGTAATTTTGCTAACCTTGAGGACGCCCTCCAGGACCAGCTGGTCTGCAGAATAAGGGACGAGCGGCTCCAGAAGAGGATCCTTGTGAAAGGTGACCCTAACTTTAAGGAAGCCATAGAGATGGCCCTTGCCTAGGAAGCCACAGAACAGGTCACCGCAGAGGTCCGGCATGCGAAAAGCCCCGTCTGTCATCACCACACGCCATGCATTCCACACGAGGAAGCAGACCGCCAATGAATCCATCATGGATTTTGTTACAGAACTATGGTGTATCGCGCGGCACTGTAATTTTGCTAACCTTGAGGACGCCCTCCAGGACCAGCTGGTCTGCAGAATAAGGGACGAGCGGCTCCAGAGGAGTCATGGATATGGCCGTGGAGCAGTTCACCGCGGAGGTCCGGCACGTGAAAAGCCCACCATCTCAATGGAAACCGAACACAGCCACCCACCACGTGGACGCTTTGGAGGACAAAACTGATGAGGTCTTAAAGCTCCAGCGCCCTGCTCGGCGCCGCACGCCATCAGTACAGCAATGGCCGTCCGCACCGCCACACACTGGCGATGCTGCCACACTGACCATATGTGCCAGCTGCGGAGAGCCCCATGAGAGGAGGCACTGTCGATTCCAGGATGCCATGTGTAGGAACTCCGGAAAGGTCGGCCATATCGCCCGAGCCTGCCGCATCAAAGAGAACCGGAGCTGACCAGTGGCAAGCCCAACATTCACGCACTCCGTGGAGCTACACACCACGTCCGCCCAACAGCAACAGGTACTGCACTTGCCCTGGGACACCCCTGGAGCCAGTACCTCACACCCTATGGGAAACCCCTATCATGACCCCGGTAAAGCCCAACGGAGACGTCCGCATCTGCGCGGACTACAAATGCACGATAAACAAGGCCCTCCAGGTCCATGCATATCCAGTCCCGGTGGTCAGCCACGTCCTAGCATCCCTGGCAGGCGCAAAAGTCTTTGGTAACCTGGATTTAGCTCAGGTTTACCAACAGCTCCTTGTGGACAATGCGATCGTAGAGGGTGACGCACAGGGGTGCATTCTGGGTGCAGTGGCTGCAATTCGGGGTCAGCGTAGCCCCAGGGATTTTCCATAATCGAATGGACTCTCTCCTTAAAGGAATTTCCGGGGTACAGCCCTTCTTCGACGATGTTTTTATCACCGCACCCACAGATGAGGATTTTGCCAAGAGACTGCGGACTGTCCTGCAGTGATTTCAAGCCACCGGTCTCAAAGCAAAGGGGGGGGAAATGTCTCCTGGGGATTCTGCGAGTTGAGTTCCTGGGGTTCTCCGTTGATGCCCAGGGCATCCATCCTGCTCCCAACAAGGTCTATACCATCATCAATGCCCCGGCTCCCGCTTACAAGCCAGAACTCCAGGCCTTTTTGGGGCTGTGGAACTTTTATCATTTCTTCCTGCCCCACAAGGCTGCAGTTGTGGAGCCACTGCACTGACTCCTCGACAAGAAGGCCCCCTGGGTCTGGGGCCAGAAGCAAGCTGCCGCGTTCCGGGCTGTCAAGGAGCTGCTCACCTCGAACACCATCCTGGCACACTTCGACGAATCGCTGCCCGTCATCCTCACCTGCAATGCCTCACCGTATGGGGTAGGAGCTGTCCTTGGTCACCAGCTACCAGATGGCAGAGAGGTTCCTGTGGCGTACTACTCCCGCACCTTGTCCTCGGCTGAGTGCAATTACGTGCAAATAGACAAAGAGGCACTGGCAATCATGGCAGGAGTCAAGAAATTCCATGACTACCTCTACGGGTGACCTTTCACCATCGTGACCAATCAGAAGCCACTGCTAGGCATGCTGGCCCCAGATCACCGGACGCCGCAGATGCTGTCCCCCAGGGTGCTGCGTTGGTCTATCTTCCTGGTGGGCTACCAGTACTCGCTTCTCCACCATCCTGGAAAGGCGATGGCCCACGGTAACGCCCTAAGCCACCTGCTGTTTCCCTCCTGCGACCGAGAACCGGCTCTGGCACATCAAATTCTGCTCCTCAAGGACCTCCCTGACCATCCTCTCCAGGTAACCCACATGTCCCACCACACCACCAAGGACTGTGTCCTCTCCTGCGTCTTGGACTGAGTGGGAGGGACTGGTCCACCAGCCGGGTGGGTCCAGAATTCGCAGCTTTCTCCTCCCGCCAGAGCACTGTTGTCCTAGCAAGTACTAGCGGCGTTGCACGACACACACCCAGGAATCGTGCGGATGAAGGCACTGGTCGGCAGCTATGTATGGTGGCCTGGCTTGGACATAGATGAAAGCACTGGCCTGCAGCTATGTATGGTGGCCTGGCTTGGACAGTGAAATTGAGGACTGTGTAAAGTGCTGCCAGACCTGCCAAGAGACTCAACCAGAGCCGCCAAAGGCCCCAGTGAAACAGTGAGAATCCATCCACAAACCTTGGTCCAGATTACACCTGGATTTTGTGTACCCCTTCCAAGGCCAAATTTTCTTCATCTTGGTAGATTCATACACCAAAGGGCTGGAAGTAGTGCCTGTTTCCTCCACCTGTTCCAAGGCGGCAATCCGGGCCCTCCAACGGATCTTCTGTACCCATGGCCTACCCAACACCGTTGTGATAGACAATGAGACAGCCTTCACATCGGGGGAGTTCTGTGAGTTCATGGGCCGTTACCTAATCCGGCACACTCGATCCACTCCTTTCCACCCAGCCACCAATGGACAAGTGGAAAGGATGGTGAGGATCACTAAGGAGTCCCTCCGGCAGATCATCCACGGAGACTGGGACCACCGGCTCGCGGCTTTCCTTTTCGGCCACCGAGTGACCTCGAGCACCTCCACCGGCCGCAGCCCCACGGAACTGCTCATGGGCAGGCACCTAACCACCCGTTTAGCCAGTTTGGTGTAGTGGTTAAGTGCGCGGACTCTAATCTGGGAGCACTGGGTTTGATTTCCCACTCCTCCACTTGCACCTGCTGATGTGACCTTGGGTCAGTCACAAGCTCTGGCACAGCTGTCCTTGAAAAAGAGCAGTTTGTGTCAGAGTTCTCTCAGCCCCACCCACCTCACAGGGTGTCTGTTGTGGGGAGGGGAAGGGAAAGGAGTTTGTAAGCCACTCTGAGACACCTTTGGGTAGTGAAGGGCGGGGTATAAATCCAATCTCTTCTTCTTCTTTAGACCAGCTGCACCCTGACCATGCTCCGGAGCACTGCCCAGCTCCTGAGAACCAAGAGGCACCCCATCAATTCTCTCCAGGCAACCCCGTCTATGCCTGGAACTTCTCTACAGGCCCAGCCTGGATTCCTGCCCAGGACAGGTGACCAGAGTTACAGGGCCCCTGTCGTATGAGGTTTTCTACAGAGGACAGCCAAGTGCTGCGGAGGCACATCAACCAACTCCACAGCCATTTACTCCCATCGAAGCCACAGCTTCCACCAGCAGTTCAAGGAGATGGTGACGCGCAGTTACCCCAGCCGCAGGAACCCGAGACCACAAGAGAATCCCCATTAGACAATGCACCACCAACCCACCGAGAAGGCGAAACTCGTGACCAGGCGGCCACGGAACTGCCCAATGCCTTGCCAGCTCCGCAGCCTTCCACCAACGCATCACCAACACTGTCGGACCCCGATCTAGAGACCCTGGCCCCACCCACAGAACCGCATCGTTCAAACCGGGAATGACGCAGACCAGCCTACTTAAGAGAACTTGTCTGTTGAGGTGTTCCTGAACTTAGGGGGAAGGTGTGTTATGTACTGAGCCTGAAACGTACCAGGAAACTGACTAAGCTTGGGCATCAGAACCATGGAGAGCCAGGATCCTGGAATGGACCTATTGAGTAGGAGTTGTAAGGTAAGTAGCCTAGCATGAGGAGTGTGTGTGTGTGTGTGGGTGTGGTGTTTTGCACACATATAAGCAGGGCTCCAGCCCCGCTACAGTTGTCTTAGAGTTAAGCTGAAATCACTAATAAACTATGAGCTGATCACTTTACTCATCTCGAATCCAGTATATTTCAGTTTGGTTAGTTCTTTTCCTTTTTGTTAATTTATAAAGTCATTTTTCTCCATACTTGGGGAGCCCTCCTTCCTTATCTTTGGCTAGCCATACTTTCCCACTTTTGTGATTGACCAGCAACTTCATTATTAGATACAGTGATGAAGATATATTATCCCTATTTCTATTCAATTTGACAAATTAATCCTCAGACTCATAAACTGGATGTTAAAGATCTAAGATGTTGTTATTGGCTCCCAATCTGCATAAAGCCACATGAAGCAGAATGGGAAAGTAGAATCCTGAAGTGCAACCTGCAGACTGAAGGTTGATCTCTCATATTTTTAATGGATCTCTACATAAAGCTTCCTGCAAATAAAAAGTTACCACATCAGAGAGTGAGGTTCTTTACATGCAGTGCTAAGTTTTCCACTTTTGGGAATGTTTAATAACAGGGAACCTTGAAAAATGAAATCCTGCAGTCTGAAGCGATATAGTCTATTTAATCACCTCAGCTTCCTGCCACCTCTTTCTGCTGCATGTGAAGACCTGGCATCAGATGATTTACCAGGGACTTTCGTTTTTATAATCCTTATTATGACACTGCCCCCTTGTTAGCTATATTGTATTATTAGTGGTCAAGATCTGAAGAACTACTTTAAGCATACTCAAGGACCCCAGCATGCTTAGCTGAATTGTTCCAAATTCTTTATTTGAATAGCAGACTCTCATGCAGTATCACAAGCTTATGAAAATTAACTAAAGTGGTTTTCCTTGGAGCACTGGAGGCTGCTATTCGAGAATTTCCAGGCTCCTATAGCCCTTAGGTATGCAAAACTTATTGCATAGTTCTTTGGATCCCAATGATAGTAATTATATTCAAAGCATCTACATTTGAGAACGATCAGTGAAGGGGGGGGCACATCTAACTTGCAGAGACAACTCATATTTATTATTCATGAAACACAGCTTTGTAGCATATATATCTAATGAGTGTTCTGGTTATTGTGAAAACAAAAGCAACTGCATTGACTAGGACCAAGCATTAGGAATGAACCAATTTGTATAAATGATGGCCAGAACAACTCACAGTAAACAGCCACCTCATCTTCATATTCCATTTCCATTGTCTGTGAAAATTAGGGCATGCCTATACTGAACTCAATAGAACTAGGTCATAAGACAATACTACGATTAGCCTCTATAACTAGTGAGCAAGGCTGTATGTGCTTTGTGCTAAAAATTAGCATTTTGTAGCCAGACAATATAAATTCTGTATCCATCCTTCCCTTTGAATCCTAAAACTGTTATAAATTATGCAAACAAAGTTTATTCTGTTTTTGCTAACGAGGAAGAGCAAGCCCCACTTTGAAACACTGAGCATCTTATAAACTCTCACCTTGTTGGCTTCTAAGATTTCAGGAGAGTTAACCCACATAGTTTCATGTCCTAGTCATAAGGACTAGAAACTTCCTTTCCCAAGATAAATAAAACCGAATGTTGCATTCTGCAGCAATAGCACAGGTCACACTTCTATGAGCTCCTTAAGAATCCCAGCATAGACATAGCCCGACTGATTATAATCTGAAATGTGCTCCTCGAAGTGGAGAAGCTAGTTCTGGTTTTCTTTTCATCTTAATCTTTAAAAGAAATAATTATAAAGTGTTGGACACTTGGCATTAGAACAGCTAAGTATCCAGTTTCAAAGTTGGGGGCATGTTGGCATCATTATGACTGTCCACTGTCACGTTCAATAATATAAGCTAAAAATGTAATTAATGCTTTCTTTTGTATTCAATATTTTAAGAATTTAATTAGCAATAGGGATATTATAATCATATATCTAATTCTGAACAAAGATCCCAGGATGCAAATCAAATATCCAAAAAAGGGCTGGCAGGGGGCCACAAAGTAGGGTGGGGCAAAAAAGGGAGGAAATTGCTGGTGGGAGGCAGGGAACCCCTGGTGAATCTTGCAAATCCTCTCTTGTATTTATATCCTCTCTTTCTTTCATGGAACTCCAGGTGGCATACAAAGGATTTCCCAAGGGTCTCTCGTATCAGCTTAGCTTTAGGTAGATCATGTGGCGGTCAACATGATAAAATGAGGGGATGTCTCTTTTTCTGCTTTTAATAAGTCGGGCACAGTAATTAAATAGTAAAATCTCATTATGAAATGGGGCAAGTCATTCCATCTTAATCCCCTCACTGTATGCCACTGAAAATACTTGAAGTTTCCCAGTCACAACATTAAAGTGGGTCAGCTCATTGTTCCTGAGATAGCAGTGATATGATGGAGAACATCATCAAGCTTCTCTACTAGCAGCAACTGCTAACCATGTGGAGGACCTGTCTGTTTCTAGATTAGTACTAAAAAGTAGTAAAGAGCAAAAACTTCTGCAAATATTCCTTTACCTTAGTATTATAGTATCTTGTTGTATATGTTAAATCAATAATTAAGCCAAGTTCCACATCCAGAGCTTTCACTGCAGCAATTAAATCTTTTGGAGTGAATTTCTGATTTGGAGTCAATCTCTGATTGATTGCCTATGATGGGGAGAAAAGAGATTATGTAAAGAAAAATATCCCATTTCCATACATGGAAAAATCTTATAAAATTTACAACCTAAAAATGAAATCTGGGTATCAAAATAGCATAATGCTAATGTAAACTGAAAAAAGAAAACCTTTTCTTAAAGTGCTATGTATCTGTACCAGATGCAACTCTACTTTTATATTTAAAATATATTTTAAACCAGCTGGGACCCTGTGACGAATTGCAGGAGGGGGAACAATTTGGAAATCTCCCAATTATTCCTATCCCCCACTACCAATAAGTTCTCAGAGTCCTCTTCAACATTTCAGACAGAAGCTCTGTTTAACAGGATGCTTTTTAAAATGAACATATTGTTTCATAATATTTTCCTGCATACACACAAGCTACATTCAGTTTTATGTCGTAGTGGCAGCTGCTGCTGAAGCAACTTTTTAAAAATCTGCACAGCCAATCAGATCTCCAGTGGCCAATCAGAACCCCCGCTGGGCAAAAGCCCCACCTGGACTTGTCCGCTTTCTAAAAAAACTTGGCAGATGGCAGGAAAGATGTCAGCGGACACTAGAGTGCCCATGTATGCCACATTGGGCAGCCCTGTTTCAGAAAACAGGGTTGCACTTACCTGTAACTCTTGTTCAATGAGTTGTCTTCTGTGCGGGCACACACTAGTAATGGTGCATGAGCAGGTCTGCTGTTAAGAGGTTTCTTTCTAGATTAAAAATTCACCAAAGGGGCACCCAACCCTCAGAGCTGCTGTGATGTTTCTTTCTGATTAAATGGTCACATGATCTGAGGGAGCAGCGCACCCACCCCCTCAGCTCTGCCTGAGCCACTGTACACATGACTATAATAAAGAGAATTTGCAATGGGGCAGGAGGGAGGGAATATGTGCCTGCAGAGAAGACAACTCTATGAACAACAGTTACAGGTAATTGCAATCATGTTTTCATATTCGGTCTTCTGTGCGGTCCCACATTGGGATTTTGCCAAGCTACTCACTAAAGGAGGTGGGTTGAGGTTCTCCCAAATGATCTTATTGGAACAAAGAATGGAATATGGATTTGCCAATCTCTGTGTCTTGCCTTGCTTGCAGTTACAGTGTGTAGTGTCTCACAAAGGCATTGGCTGAAGACCATGTAGCAGCCCTGCAAATCTCAAGAAGCATAACCCCTCTAAAGAGGACTGTGGAAGAGGTTTATGCTCTAGATGAATGGGCGTGTGCTTGAAGAAGACAAGACAAACCAGCTTGGTTGTAGAAAAGCTTTACTGCAGAGACAATCCACGCAGATAAGGATTGTGAAGAAACTGTTTCCCCCTTATTCTGGTCAGTATAACAAATAAAGACTAATACTCTTCCTAAAAAGTTTGTGTACTTTTCACGTTGAATGAAGCATGTTTTATGTCTAATGTGTGCAGAGTGCATTCAGCTTGGATAGGCAGAGCAGGGAAGAATACAGGGAGTATAATTTCCTGGGACAAGTGGAATTTAGACACTACCTTTGGGAAGAATTCAAGCCTAGGCCTAAGGACCATTTGTTCCTCAAAAAACTTAAGAAGGGTCCACTTGAAGAGCAGCTAAGCTGCTCACTCTTCTAGCTTATGTGATGGCTATGAGAAAGCAGACCTTCACTGATAATAGTGCTAAGAAAAAAATGTTCCAAGGTTTGAACGGTTTTAGCATTATTTAGCATGTATCTGAAGACATGTGCTTGCACACAAAAGCTTATACCTTGAATAAAACTTTGTTGGTCTTAAAGGTGCCACTGGACTCAAACTTTGTTCTAATACCTATGACAAAGAGATCACTGTGGGACCACTGGAGAATATTTATTTATTTGTATTTATTTGATTTATACCTCATCCTCCCTGCTGGAGCAGGCTCAGAATGGGAAAAACATATGTTAAACAGGTCTTTAAGGAACTGCCAAGACAACCTGTGGGAGAAAACAGAACCACCCTTGAATGCTGAGCCAAGATGGCAGCCCATGCACCTTTATTGAAGAGTGTGATAAGCCCTCAAGCAACAACAGATAGTCCAAAATCATAGGTAGGGGGCAAAGTGAGGCGGACACCCCTTTAGCCTCTGCCCATGTTGAAAAACGCTTCCAATTGTGCTGATAGGAACACCTCCTAGACAGTTTATGAAACTGGGTCAAAACATTTTAAACTTCAGTAGAAAACTCTGTCGAATCTGGATCCTCAAAGCTGTGAGGTGTAAATATGACATACTGTGGTACAAAATGGGACCCTTCTTCAGTAAGCGGATATACTTCCTGTTGGCAAAGCTGATCAGACAGGTGAACAACATCTGGTGGGGCCAAAACAGAGCCATCCTCTATAATCTGGATAACCACCTTGGTTAACAGGGGAAACAGAGGAAAAGCATACCCAAAAAATGCTCCCTCCACTCTATCTGGAAATTGTCTCCAGTAGATGAAGGGTTGGTGCCTACCACAGAACAGAGAATTGGAGTCTTGGCATTGTCGGGGTAGCAAATAGGTCCACCTCTGGAAAACCCCAAAGTCTGAAAATGGGTTGGATATAAACGTGCCAGAATTGTGGTTTGACATTTTTACTCTGTTGAGTTGATCTGCCTATATATTCTATACCCCAGCAATATAGATGGCTCTTAAAGAAGCGAAATGCTCCAAAGCCCATTGTCATGCCTGTGTGGCCCCTAAATTCAGATGTCTTGAACCTGTACCGCCTGCCTATATATGTAAAACATGGTGGAAATGTTGTCCTCTATAAAATATTGGTGAATGAGCTAATGGTTTATCTTATGGCTCTCAATTTTAGAATACTAATATGTAATTTCTTTTCTAATGGTAAAGGTAAAGGTTCCCTTGCTCGAAAGCCAGTCGAATCCGACTCTAGGGTTGCGGTGCTCATCTCCGTTTCAAAGCCGAAGAGCCAGCGCTGTCCGAAGATGTTTCCGTGGTCATGTGGCCGGCATGACTAAACACCAAGGCGCACGGAACGCTGTTACCTTCCCACCGAAGTGGTCCCTATTTATCTACTTGCAATTTCTTGCTTTCGAACTGCTAGGTTGGCAGTCTAATGGTACTCTGAACTAAACCCTCCCCCCCACAGTGGGCTCCCCAGCCCATGAGGGAGACATCCGAGGTACATCCGAGGTGGAGTTGCCAAACCAAAGGGTAACAAAGAGTACTAGTAAACCTTGTCTGCATAACGGAACCAGAAATACTTCCTGTGATCTTGATGTATATATTATAGGGAAGTAAATTTGTCCTGCAAATCAAGTACAACAAACCAACCAGTTTGTTTTAATAAATGAAACACAGAAACTAAAGAGACCATTCTAAATTTAGATACACATAGAAACCTGTTCAAGCCCTGTAGGTTTACAATGGGTCTAGAATCTCCATCCTTTTTTCTACCCAAAATAGGTAGGAATAGAAATCAGGCATGGACACCTCTTCAATTATCTCCTTCTCCAACGGGGTGTGAAGCTGTACTTGGAGTTGAGGCAAGAAATAATTCACTGCCCCAGAGACTAATTGACTGTGCGGTAGAGAGAAAAATTCCAACCTGTAGCCTTGGGGACTGCCATTGGTTAAAGAAAGGCATCATCTTATCCCTAGATTTAGATGGAACTGACAAACAAGGACATTCTAGTCAGAATGAAGGTTTTGGCTAATGTGCCCGGCCTGATGCCCAGTCTTGTGCCCAGAAGAGTTCTTCCTCTTTGCATAAGACTGGTGTGCTGAAAATGGCCTCTGGGCTGGATCCTGTTGTCTAGATGACGGCTAAGACCTCTGCTCCCTTTGGAATGGGGACCACTGCTGATAGTAAAACGATCTCTGCCTAAACTGAAGGGGAGCAGAAATGATCCCCAATAACTGATGTGTGATTTATCTTTGTGAGACATATTCGGCAGTTTTCTCTGAAAAGAGAGTGGACTCTTCAAACAGTAAGTCTTTCACCCTGTGCCTCATTTCTATCGGTAAGGTCATGGATCACAGTCACGCATGGCAGTGCAAGATGATGGAGGTGGCTATGGCTCTTGAGGTAGATTCTGCCATATGATGTGCAGTGTAACTTGTTGCTTGGAAAGCCTTACTGCCTCAGACTACAAAATCCTTGCCAGGGACCTCTTATTTTCAGGCAGAAGTTCTAAATATGTGGAATTTTTTACCACAAAAAGAGTTGGCAAGAAGCCATAATGGCTTGATAATTATAGATCCTGAAACAAACTACAGCTGAGGAATAAGCTTTTTGGCCCAAGGAATCTTCCCTCCTGATCAGTAAGGGCTGCATGAAAAACACTGTCGCCATCTGGGTTGCATCTCACCAGTTATCAAAAAAGATGGAGGAGGGTGCATAAACAAAAACAAAGAACCTTCTTGCTTTACTTTGTACAAATTTTCTATGCATCTGGAAGTAGCAAGAGTAGACAATGGTTTGCCCCAGATCTCTCTATAAATATCCATAAAACCCTCCAGTACCAGAATGCCACTGTGCCAGAAGCATCAGAGTAAAGATGGCTCAGAATTTTATCCTTGGGCCTTTGGTCAGTGATAGTGATGTCAATGTCCAAGGCCTGAGCCATCCTAATAATCTGTTCAGCATATAAGTCTTCATTTGGAAAAATAGGTATTGCATCTCCTACTCATTCATCCAGCAAAGGGTTGGATTGTGCTCGAAACTGATCAATATGTCTGTCTCCTCTTTGGACTCAACACACAATTCAATGACTTGCTGTCTTGGAACAGTTACTAAAGCCAATGGAAGGGTCAGCTGAAAACATGGTAGTTTCTGAAAGGCAGGATTCAGTAGAGGAACAGGCGCACCACACTCACCCCAATCTGGTAAGTAGGCTGGAGACATATGAGTACGCTTGCCATGGAATGGATGGAAAGGCAGGGGCCAAGGAACTAGCATGGACAGATCAGGATGAGAAGGTCTTAGGCCTTAGAAGGCATCTGATCTGGATTTTCCCTTTGGACTGACTGTGCTGGAGAAGCTGAAT